TTGCCCATTGCTCGAAACTCATCTTGTATTTTGGCTTATCTGCAAGTTTGATGGATTTTTATCCTTTTCGTTGGACGGGGCAAACAGAACTGCCTGCCAGACGCCTGCTTATGTATTTTTATTATTATGCCTGTGCTCAGCTTTCCCTCTCGTTCCCTCTCTGTCTTTCTCTGCCTTTCCTTAGTTTGTTTGTGTTGCTTTGCTGCATTTGTACTTTATTTTTTTTTTTTTTTGTTATTTTTTGTATATTTTTATTATGGCAGCAGACACACGCAGTTTATTTATTGTGCCTGTATTTTCTTTTGGTCTTTTTGAGTTCTCCATCTCGCTCTCTTTCTCTCTCTCTCTCTCGCTCTTTGTCTGCCCCTCTTGCGTTTTCTTCAGTTTGGCATTTATTTATATTCGCTTCCTGTGTTTTCGCCGCTTGCGTTGTCGGCGCATTTATAAATATAAATGAGTTTTGCTCGATGAAGGTTAAATTGAAATTTACTTTGTGCACAGCCATGGGTTCCCTTTTTTTTAAGAAGCAGTCAACCAGCCCGCCAGGACACGCCGTCCTTTCGCATTTATATATACACATCTATATATATGTATATATCTGCACATCTTTGTGTGTTGTGCATGATGGAAACCTGCTGCTGAAAAGTTTTAGACCTCTGCATTTCCGCCTTTATGACTTCCCCCCAATTCATTTTGCTTCTCACTTTCTTTTCTGTGGTTTCATTTTAATTTTGATAAGCAAATGCGGCACATCCTTTTTCTGACTGTTTCTTCTTCTATTCATGCAGCTTCTCGTTTTGGGTGTGAAAAGTTTGTTTGCCTGGCTGCCTTTTGTTTGGCCTTATCATTTGTCAAAAAGAGGCACAAACGAATGCCTCAAATTGAATATTTGCATAAGTTTATTGAAACAGGCGAACTTCGCATTAAATCTGCGTCTGTGTGTGCAGGTGTGTGTGTATGTGAGTCGAAATAGGGGACAGGTATATCAGCACCTTGCCGCTGTGTATCTTTCTGTGTGAGTGTGTGTGTTCGGCATCTGTTTGATTTGGTTTATTTGATACCGAATGCTTTTGGCTGATTGATTCCTTTGACACATTTTGAAGGAAACCTAAATAAATTAGCGGAAGTTTCACTTGAAGCTCTTACACTTTCAAGGCATTTTAAGCTTGACTGAGAATTGTATATTATGAACATAACATAGCATATTCTCAGAGAAAAATATATCATGGCACTTATATTGCGCATCTGGCTAATGTAAGTCAAAGTGCACAGATTTAAATGTTATCATTAGTAGGCCAAATATTCATCAACAGCAAATATTTATAAATATCATATATTATATTTATTTTTGGTTATCGAATTTCAAATCGAATATTTTTATAGCTTAACGCTTAACAAAAAACAAGTAGGCACTCTTCAAAATTCATAATAAAAAATAGTTTCAGCTGGAAAAAGTTTCAGAAAAACTTTTAAAACACATTTAATGATAATTAAGAATAAATTGCTGCTAATGCTTAAGAGATTAAAAAAGCAATGATAATTTGAAAAGAAAAACATTGAGCAAATGTCATAAATACACGTTTGAGTGTCAATCATATTTTTTATTCGACTTTTGAAGCTTAATCAACTTCAATTTCAGCGGATACTTTTGAATTATATTCAAATATATTCATTATTTAGCAAGCATATCTTAAATAAACAATGTAAATATTATACATTTAATGACTGCATCACACCCACACTTAGACAGCCCTCAGGAACACTTGAAATTATCACAATTTCAGCTAAAGGCACAGTTTTTCCATTTGTTCACTCTCATTTCCATGAGATGGGCACACACGCGCACACCCACACACACTCAGCTAACAAAAAAAAAAACGGGGTGCTCAAGTTTTATGCGCCCTGACGGATTGTTGCTTTCATTTTTTTTCTCGTTTTTTTTTTGCTTTTGCTTTTTCTTTATTTTGCTTTTTTCGCCAATTCATGCTAACCGCTGTTGTTGTGGGTGTTGCTGTTGTTCAGATCGATTACCGTTACAAGTGCCAGATACTTGAGCGTAAAAACGCAAGCGCACGTGTCTACAGGTTCGTCTGCTTGCTCTCTCTCCCGTCCTCCCCCTCTCTCTCTGTCTCTCTCTCTCTTCTTTACCCCCTGCAGTCGCAGTTATTGTTGTTGTCCGTCATTAGGAAGATTGATTTCAAAGCGTGGCGCCTTTTCCCAACATTCTTGTTGTGCCAGCCACACGCAAAGCTCAAACCAAGCAAAAATACTAAAAATACTAAAATACTTTTCACACACGCACACACACACACACACACTGAGAGAGACCGAACGCCGCTGCCTAATCTTTTTATTTGGTTTTGTTCTGTCAAGCGCAGATCATTTTGATTACATTTACCGTTGTTGCTGCCAGATAAATACAGGTTAAATGCGTTTCACTTCATGTGAAGCACATGTATAAAATATTTATGATTTGCTGTCTCTTCAAAAAGAATGAAATATATATATAGAATATCTTCTTTTATGCCATTTCTTTACATCATTTAAATGTGTTTTTCAATCAAGCAATTGAAATTGTGCCTAAAAGAGCATTTTCTGCTTCATGTGACATTTAGGCAATAATAATTTAATTTTATTTATAAATAAATAATATTACTCACATATAATACAATACATACAATATGTAAGACAGAACAAAACCTAATTTAAATGAAGTTTAAAATCCTGAAATAAACTTTGAATTACATTAAACTTTTGCCAAATACCCGTCACATACACACACACGTAACTGGGACTTGCGGGGTGCCTAAAAAGTACATTAAAATCACATTAACCCGTCAATGGTTAAAGCTGCGTATACGTAACTTTTGTTTATGCGTTTTGCGTTTGTGAAGTACGCAAAGCACACGCAAATTGGTTTTTCGGTTTGCTCAGCACTTTGATAAGCCAATGACATATATGTATATATACAACATATATAAATGCTATATATATGTTAGCAGCAACCCTTTTCTGTTCGGAAAGGGGGGCAGACAGTTAAAACTCTCAACTACGTTCGTACGTATCAGCTGGCAGACGTAATTGGCTTTTCGCTATAAATTTCAACAATTGTTTGGTACGCAGCACGCAGCACGCATCATGCCGCGACCCCGCTTATTGCTAAGCTACGCCCCCTCACCAACTGTGCCGCAAGCTCCCCAGGGACACTAGGCTTAAATCGTGCGGATGTTTAGGGATGTCTGTATCAGTGTGTGTATGTGTGTGTGTGAGTAAATTGTCAAAATTTTGTGGACATTTGGGCGACACAAGCAGCTTATCAAAAATGCAGCATGCGAAGCTCGTGTAGCTATAGCTGCTATCACACATACACACAGAGCTCTTCAGCTTCTGCTTTTGACCTGCTCGTGCGTGCTTTGGCCAATTGGTTGGCCCGGTCATTTGTGTAAGTCGAAATTGGTTTTTTAGTTGTTCCCTGTTTCAGCCTCATTTGCATATTTCAATTGTCAACCGAGGCAGGCAAAGACAGAGATATATATAGAGAGAGAGAGAGGGAAAGTAAGAGAGAAGGAGACGTAGTCAGGCTGCTCTTTATTTATTTAACTAATTTATTTACATTAACTTTAACTAGGCGCCAACTAGCTGCAGGAAATGCTTTCAGCCCAGCAGCAGCTGCGAAAGGCAGCAAAAACAGAGGGACAGCAGCTTCCCTAATGAAAACCTACAAATTTAATAAACAAAAAGTCCTTAGAGAGTCGAAAACAGGACTCGCTTTTGGAGAATTTTGCTAAACTTAAAAACGAAAGAAATTTTCTTTACCTAAACTCAACTTTAGCTTGGCCTAGGCTCGCTTATTAAAAGCATATTTATGAGTTGAATTTTTCATATAATTTTTAAACACTTTTCTGAATAAGTATAAACAGATTGTATAACATTATTATACGATAATATATCGATATAGTTATATGTAATATATTTTATTTCTTTATTAAGATCAAGAGAAACAGATAAATACAAATTAAAATTATACAAAAAATAAAGTTAAAAATTGTGTTTTTCTTTTCTTTTTCTAAATTTATTTAAATACAATAACTTTAGAATATTAATAAACATTTATTTATATTTATAATTATCATTTTCAGAATTGTTTTCATTATTTTTATTTTATTCGGTTTATAACTTTTCAAAATTCTTAACACAATAAAAATTTAATTTATTTATACATATTTTTTTTTATAATTTAGAAATCCATAGAATGTCTATTTTTTTCAAATTGATTATATAAATTATATAACATGAATACAATAATTTATTTATATATCTTAATCTATGCTTTTGACTTCAATCACAATTACAAATTTTGAGTTTTGCATATTTTTTTTTAAAAATAATATTAAATCTTAAAAACTAACTAAATATTAAATTTCCATCAACTACAATAATTATTTGATTATATTAATTATATATAATAATAATTATATACTATTCCAAATCCCAGTCAATGACAATATATTGGAATCGTCTAAATGCCAATATATTAGAATCTTCTAAAAACCCTCGAAAAGAGCATATGAATACGGCTTTAGGCTAACTTATTTAACTCCATTTTATATATAACATAAAAGAAAATATGTATATAGAATATTTTAGATATATATGTTTATATAAGAAAGAAAAAATAAAATAATAAAACAAGTAAATAAACTTTAGGCAAAGTTTTGCCAACTTTTTGGCAGTCAGTTGGCGCATTTTAAGTTAGGGCAATCGACACAGCGAAGAAGGCGGCGTAACGGCACTTGGGTAAAAAGGAAACAAGACAGAGCGCCAGCAGGAGGGAGAGGAAACGTGCGAGAGTGAAAAGCTGACGCAGCGAGACAAGTGCTTAAAGTACCGCAAAATTCCAGAGTCAAAAAAATCAGAGTCTAGCCGCAAACAAATATTGCACAGATGCTTTAAAGGCAGCTGTTGAAAATATAACTGGCAAGCTAGACGATATAACTTACCTGGCCAACAAATTGAGTTTTGGCCTGGCGAACTGATAATCCGTAGGTAGTTGTTATTTTTGCTTATTGTTGTTCTTGTTGCTGGACTGTGTCACGCACAAGGGCAACAATGGCTTGGCCGTTCACAAAACATGGCTCAAACTTTTTGGCCACGTGACCAAGGAGTTAAAGCGGAACAACAGCTAGAAAAACACACTCACTCGCACACACACGCACTATACCAGTCGAGTTGTTGCTGTTGTTGTTGCCGACACGTTTTTAATATATGCCAAAAGAGGAGCAGAGCACAACAATTAAAGCAAGTGACGAAAGTTGCCAAGAAGTAAAGTGGGTTACTTTACTTCACTTCACTTACTACTACAACTGTAAATGAAATTCTCAACACCCGCTTGACTCATTCTACAACTGTAACTATATACACACATACACGATATGTACCATTAACGCATTGCAACTGCAATTTAGATTTGTTATATTTGTTTCGCCTGTGATTGAGTTTTGTTTTTATTCAAAAACGCTTTGAGAATTTCAATTTTGTTGTGTCTTCGATTTGCGTCGTTTTGCCGAATTCACCGTGACGAACGAACACGATTTATGCGCGAGACAAGCGACAGCCTTTCTGCATACGTTCAATACACTCCGACGGCTGAGCTTCAACTAAAGCTACAACGGATAACAGTCGCTTCGTTAAGCATCGTTCAGACCAAACACGAAGCGTGCGATGCGTACGTAGCCAACGACAAGACGAGAGGACGACAGCGCACGACAGCATAAAGCAGGCACAACAACACGAAGTGCAGACACGAGCATTGAGGCTGCTGAATACGAGGCAGAGTGAAGCAACGACAGCGAGAGAGACACTGACTGTAATTTCACAGACAAATGTTACGATTGGGCGCTGTTGAGTCTGTTAACAATGAATCGAAGGCGCTAAAATTGATCTATGATCAGTCCGATTTCGTGTTTAGTAAGCAAAATCATTATACGACTTACGTTCAAATACAGGTGCAAGAAAATAGTGAATACAATAAATAAACAATAATGTACATATACATAAATTTTATATTATTATGTGTAAGATCTCTGAATTGGTACACCTAGCAGCGCACTGTTGCCTAACATTATGCTTGTTGCGCTCCGTATAAGACTTTCGTATGTTGTGCTCTCACACACTTGCTATCAACACGCCATCTACCGAAAACTCTGACACTTTAATGTATATAAGAGAGCAAGCTCAATAGGCATAAATGGTTGCTGTCTGAACTATCTGTTAAGAATCCGTTAACTTGAGTAAATATGCTCTGTTAAATATGCTAAGATTATGTGTTAATTAAATAAATAAATAAATGCAAAACCAAAAAAGTTTATAGCTTTATACAGCCATTACAATATAATTTAGTATTTAATTATAACAGTCGACATTTAAATTAAATATTTATAGCTTTTTCTCGTGACAAGATTTTCCAATCAGAACTTGTTATACGATAATTAACTCCATGGTCCAATTTATGCACTTTCGTCTTTCCAGCTTTTACACACACTTAAAATCAGTGCAATGCAATAACAGCCAATTAACTTGAATGTTTTCCAACACTAACATACGCTTACACATGTACGTGTATTGCACATATCTATGGTTTCTTCTTCTCTCAAGTGCGCTTCTCTATTGCCTTAGTGAACTTCCACCAATACACACTCTCCGACTCCCCTCATTTACCATCTCTGTCTCTCTCATTTAGCTGCAGCTGCAGCCGAGGCCGCTGCAATCACTCAAAGTAAAAATTGTCATCAAGTTTCTCACAGAAGATGCTACCAAAAAAAATGGCATAAAAAACAACTGTAAATGCTATTGTAGTGAATGAACGACTATGCGATACCCTGCTATTGGCATGAAGAAGCTTATTTAAAATATATATAAAATTAATAAAAAAAAATATTTAAGCAAGATAGGCGGAACACACCCTATAGAATTATTGTCTTGGGTATAAATATGTACATTAGTAAGCTCAAAATATATTATAGGAAATGGTAATGCAAATTAGTCAAGAACAAAAATTTAATTTGCATACAACAATAATGCATATTTGAAGCTTAGCAACCCTTTGCCATTTTTATTGCAGGGAATTCTAAAGGAAAACAGCAGCAAACCCCAAAAACGAATTGCAACAAAATGCTCAAACACACTCAACGAAATTGACTTAAATAAATAAATGGCATAAAAAACAAAGACAAACACATGTACTTCACCCGACAGCGTGAGAGGCAGAGCAAGAGTGTGAGAGAACATTCAAAGGGCAGGCACACGTACAAACATACAAACACACGCACACATACAATTGCCTGACATCAAATTTACAACTAAGAAATGGCCAAAGCGTAGCTTAGACTGAAGAATATAAGAGAGGGATGGGTTGAGGTTTAGATACTGCTGTTGTTTTGCTCATTCCATTTGATGCACTCGATGCAGCAGCAACAACAAAAGCGGCAACAATGACAACATTTAGTAGCTCATCCATTTTCATTTGTATTAAGCGAAAAGCCAAAAGTGCCGTCAACTTTTCGCAGACACTGTCTCTCTCCTCCTTCGCTTCCTTCGACTCTCTCTCCCTCAGGCGCATTACTCAGCACAGTTTGCGTTCGCTGCTTGACAAGAAAACTAAAAATTGCAGCAATCATTCCAACCCACTCGCCCACACCATTGCATCGAACACTGACTCCGTTCCACCACCCTCCTGGGAGCCGCCAGTCCACCTATTCTGAGATGCTCGTTAGCGCAGCTGCTGGTTGGAATTTATCTTATTTTTCATGCCATTCGCCATTTTTTTTGTTTTGTATTGTATTGTTTTTTTATATTTCCCGTTATTCTATTTTGTATTTTGGACATATTGTTAGCCCAGTGATCGATGCAAATTGATGCGTATTGTTAAAGGAATTTAAAGAGAAATAAGTAAGAAGTATATTAAATCAACATTAGGATATAAATACTATACTATACTATATAAATAATACACTAAAGATGTATTTAAGTTTGAGGCAACCATGAACTACTACATTAAATATGTAAAAATTTCATATTGAAATGTGAGATATTATATTTTTTCAACATATTTTTAGCAGATTTATTGGAGCAGCCAACAAAACAAAACGAAAAAAAATCCAGGCCACAATAAAAGAAATGCAGCAGTCACAGCCACCAGGAGAAGAAGAAGGAGCAGAAACAGCTTGCGAAAAAAAGAAATCATAAATAAGAGGCGCTGCAATTTGTTTATATTAAAATGGAGAGTCAAAAACGCGTCCTAAGGTCCGGGTGCACAGATTTTTCGCATTGCATTTGCCAAATGCTAACTGCCAACAACAATCAGTAAAGAGAGCAGAGAGCGCCATTGCTCTCCTGTCTCCACTCTGCTCTGCCTACATTGTCCCGTTGTTTTGTGAATTATGCGCCTTCCGTTGCATGTGGCGGCAGAAACCAGAGCCAAAGCTTGCTCAGCGTTAGTAAGTGCGAGCGAGCAAGAGAATACAAATAAGGCCTTGATGCGCCTGGCTGCATATTTTTAAAGCCAGCAAGCAGCGAGCAGCCGCCCTTATAGCTCTGTCCGGCTCTTACCTCCACCGACTACCTACTGCTGCACTTTACTGTATGTCCTATGTATTATTTTTACAGTCACTCCCACAACAAACGGCGCTCGTTTTTGTAATAAAAATGTCATAAATCTTGATTTCTGGAACTAAACCAAAGAGCGTGCGATAACAACGAGACTCTATCCCTGTGTGTGTGTCTGTTTGTCTGGCAATATAACTGTCTATTTACAGCTGTGCATATGAAGTACATTTTATTTGCTTTTATTTATATGCACACACGTTTGAACATAATTGATTTATATTTATGTTTTAAAAAGAGGGTGGAGGACGACGGAGTTCTTCAAACACAAAGCTTTCTAAAAATATTACAGCTTGTAACTTAGAAGTACAGCAGTAGCTAAACAATCATACATATATAAAAAAGAGAATTGTAAGTCAATTATAAGAGAAAGAGGGACAGCAGCATATGCGAACAATCGATCGCTTGCTGTCAAACAGAATTTAGCTGGCTTCTAAAGTTAATTAAAGCAGGCAGGTATATGCAGTGTATGCAAGTGTTCTACTCATACATAAGTACAAGGACATTGAAATTAGAGCCAAAATTAATAGTCGACAAGTAAATACCCTTGACAAAAATCAAGTAGATTTCGAAGTAGTAAGTAAGTAACCAACAGACAAGGGAAATTATCTGCTTTCTAATTAGTTTTTATATCTAATCTTACAATAACAAATAAGAATTATAAATCAGTCGGAAACCACTTGACTGATATAAGAAAATCAAAGAGATAGATGAGGTCTTTAAAAGCGGAAAGTCGTTTAATGAAATAAACATTCCACGTTAAGTATTCAATATGAAAAGTTTAACTCTTTGCCTTTTGGTGCTCGTCTCTGGCAGCTGCCTGTTGAGTGCTAATGTGAGTTGGGCAAACGGCATTCAAAATTTGATATTCTCTCTATTAAAAACTCTTCTCAATTTCAGGCCAACACTATCAATGAGAGCTCCTTTGACTTCGAGGAGGTGGAGCTCTATGGCGATGATGGCTTCATCAAGACAATGGAGAACATTTTTATGAAAGTTTTGACGACAGTTCGCGGAGTTAATTGTACGATGAAAACAGTTGTTGAGATTTTGATAGCGACCACGAAATATGTAGATGCTATTGATGCCTGTGGCACGGCGGTGCCCAAAGAAGTGGCCAAAATTGTAAAGTGCTGCAAGGACATCATCTCTATATGCGAGAATATCATCCATCTGAATAGCACCATTTGCGCCGCCGAGGAAGGTGGCAAAATGACATCCGGCAAGTGTTTCTGGAAGCTCTTTGAGGCCGTCATGAAGTTGACCCGAAAGCTCAACACGGCCCTCAAGCTGATTGCCAAGCTGCCAGTGGATACGGAAGCCTGTTTCGTCGATGCCACCCATGAGTTGGTGGTAAACTATGATAACTTTTTGCCAAATATCAGTAAGTGCATCGACGATATGTAGAAACTCTCTATATCAAAAAAGAGAACTTGAGAGCATTTTGAGAAGAGAAACTTTTTAATAAGTTATAAGGGTCAATAAAACTGTAAGTGTAGCTTTTTTAAAAAAAATACACTTTAAAAAAATACACTTCCGAAAAAACTCTAAAATACTCTTTTCACTTCATTTATAGAGATTAAATTTAGAGCATTGAACAATTCCTTAGATGGGTAACAATTATATCCAATACGTACTCTACATACTTCCCTTATTTGTAACACATCAGTTAATGATAGTTTATACAATTTGTATAAATTTGCTAGAAAGATAATCTATCTATTCATATACATACCTAAATCTTGATAAATAATGGCAATCTTCGTCTAAAAAACCACTTGCACAGTCTAAAAAAACTCTTCTACATTAAATGAAGTATTTAATTATTCTATATAAAAATAATTGGTTTGCTTGGTTTTATCTATATATTGCCATATCTGATCCAATTGCAGGTGTGGGCTGGGGCTTTTAACCTATTAATTGATAAGACATTTTAATATTCTTTTAACTGTCAATCAACTCTAATCACAAATTGAAGGCTTATCAATGAACTTAATTTCTGTCTAAACATCGATTCTAATAATAACTAATAATAACTTTTTAAGGGAATTAATTCTAGAAATAGCCACAATAGATATGTATTCAAATATATGATATCTTCAATCATACAGTAACTATGAAATGACGATTTCATACAAAGCTTAGAATTGTTAATTATTGTTTCTTGAAAAACAGCATTTAAGCCTACAATTAATAATTGAATAGATTTTTCTTTACATATAAAACAATATTTAAATTTGCGAGAAGTCTTGAGTTCAGGTCGTTGCATTTCTTGCTCTTTATATTTATACATTAAAAAACATCGTCACAACTTAAAAACTTAGTTTAAACACTTTTTTTTATATAAAATAGTAAGCTAATCGTTACATACACTGGCATGGAATTCATTTTATAATTAATAGAAATATATATATATATATATATCTATCTATATTCGTAGTTATCGAATCGTATAGATTTACATATTTGTATACATATATATTTAACTAAAATGCACGCATTATGTGTCCGTCGTGTGGCAGAAGATTTATCTTATCTTATCACAAGTGAACATCACGTCTCGATGATAGCTTTACAAATTACAATTTTGTTTAACTTAAATATAATAAAATAATTTAATTAAAGTTAAGTTGATTTAAATTTGTATATAAGTACGTCAGGTAAATTATGCAATCTTGTCAATTATTTTAATTTGTTTTTGTTTTTTGTTATTTAGTTTTCTTCCTCTTTGTTTTTAAATTAAGAAATTATCACAAATTGTTTTGTAGCATTATTTTCTTGCTGTTTTTGTTTAATTATTTGTCAATTAGAGTTTGTTGAATTGTCAAGAATTCGTTGAGGACTCGCCAAGGACTTGTGCACCTGCACATTACCAGTGATCCATATCGCGAATGCGTTCCACAGGCGGATTACTGGGAAGAAAAAAAAAGATATATTAATTCTATTTCAAATTTATGTAATAGATTAGTAATAAATAATATTAATTACGGCAGCATTCGGGCCATTGCATGCTTGTGCAAAGGTGATATTTGCACGGCAGCGGAGGCTATGCTGGAGCCCGAGTCCTGTGAAAGGGTGCGCTGCATATGATGCATGGGATGTGCGCCGACTGGACCGCCGCCCACAAACTGCAGCTGCTGCTGATGATGATGCTGGTGCAGCGGATGCGATTGCGTGGAGTGCGACGAGTGCGGCAGCTGTTGGGCACGTCGAAAGGGATGGCGCCAAGGACTCTTGGGTGCATCGCCCTGAAATGCTTTGTTCTCCACGCCGCTGCTAGAGACGCCGGCGGGACTGCCACGACGCGGGGCTGTGGCATGCTGTTGCATATCACGCGCCTTGGAGCTGAGGCGACGCAGAATGCGCGAGCCGAGACCAGGCGGTTCCTCTAGACCGCGACTGTTGCGCGGCTTACGATAGCGCACATCGCTCGACTCCTCCAATATAACATGGCGATCGTATGGAGTGCCATAGTAGACCTCCAGCACCGTGGAAAACGTGTGCGGCCAGACCAGATCAATAATGGAGATCAGCACGCCGGCTATAAAGCAAAGAATGCCTGCAATGAAAGACACGTGAGAGAGGAAGCGAGAGGTTTGAATTACGGCTGCCAACTCACCTGCAACCAGGACCAGCCAGTAACACCAGCCAAAGTGAAACTCCAGTCGACCGCCCTCCAGAAAGATGCACAACGGTCGCTGCGGCAGCAGGCAGTGATAGCCCACTGAAGTGCTGACGAGTAGGGCGCCAGTCAAGGCTTTGAGATAGGCTCCATAGCGCGGCACCGCCAACAGCAGCAAATTCATAAGCAGCCACGAGGCCAGAGAGGCCCACAGCATGATGCTGGCAAAGTAGCCAGCGGCACGATACTGACCACCCCATGAGAAGCCCTCGCGACCCAAGCTAAAATACTCGGCCACCGTGAGTATGGGAAAGGGCAAGCCGCGCTGCAGAGCCAAGCGATAATTGGCGCTCATATCGTTCGCTCCCTCCCAGCTGAAGCGCTCATTGTAGTCAATGTCTGGCTGAGTCCAGTTGCCAATGGGAATGGCTGTTGAGTAGAGAGAGAAAGAGAGAGAGTTAGAGATGAATAACAGATTTGTTGTACATAGAGATTTTAACAGAGCATAGCTTAACATAATATGTTAATGCTAATGAACATATGTTATGAATAACAAATAATTTCTAGGAGAATTTCTTACATTTTTCATAGTGCAAACTAGACAAACGTGTATTTAGCTTAGATTTGTCTTGTAATTGATTATGGGAATTTTTTGGTTATATGTCTGAAATAAAAAATGTTCCTAGAAAGCATTTATAACTTATACATTTTGAATAAGTTGAGCTAAAGAAGAACTCACAAATAAATAGCAAATATAAATATATATAATATTTATAAGCTTTGCATTTATTTATTCAAATTATGATTAAAAGATAACTTTTTGAGGGAACTATTTTAAAATAGTTTTTTAAAATTTTCCACTGCTCTTAAGTTGAATATTTTATTTAGGTTTTTAATTTGGTTTCCTTTATGTATATTCATTTAGCTTTAATCATAAGACTAAAACTTAGTTGAGTCATCTTTTATTGTGTATATATTTTTTCTGATATTATTTAAATTATTTTATGCCATCTGTTACTGACGTCTTCTAGTAGACTTTCGAAAAAATAAGAATTTGATGTCTTTTTACTTCAAGTTGCCGTCAAAAGAGATCGTCTTTCAGCAAATCTTTTCTCTTTGTTTTTGTTCTTGTTTATTTATTTTTTTTGTTATTATTCCTCTTCTTCATTTTTTTTTTGCATATTTTGTCACTCGGTGCCAGACACTGTGGCAACGCGCGCGTCGCCACGACAAACAACAGAACAAAAAAAAAGTTCAAATCATATATCATTTGAGTTTTGACTTTGGAGTCTTTTGATGATGATGATTATGATGAAGACCCCCTTTAACTGTTAAAAAGTAACACCAAAAAAGAAGATTAATGGTTTGCATAAACCAAAATGCTTTTAGAATTAAAAGCACAAATTGCTTGAAAATCAAAGCGCGTGGGCCGCTGCCCAAAAGATCTTTCAAAGTTTCGAAAGGCAAAAGCACAAAATTAAAGCGAGCATTGATTAAGTTTCTCCATGGGACGGCTGGGCGATAAAGATATATATATATATATGCACATTTCATATGGTCTTCTTCCGATTACGCACTCAACTTAAATGCAATTAACATATAGTCATAACTCTATAAATTTATACAACAATTGAAGATTGCAAGAGTTTTTATTTGACTCCACGCAAAGCAAATAAAAAATATTATTTATAAATTATGCAAATGTAATGCCAAACTAAGTAAAGAAACTAAGAAGCAAACAAATAAAAAAATTTAAAAAATTAACAACAAATATAAGAGGTTAGTTTGATAAGTTTAGTTTGCCAGCTCTACTTTGTTCATTGTATACATTTCTAGCTATAAAACTGTGCATTTAGTTTTTTCCTTACAATATGTCTCAGTCTATGTCTCATTATATACCTCTGACTCTCAGTCTCTTTATCTCTCTCTACGTGGCTCTCTCTCTCTGCCTCTCATTCTCTCTTTCTCTGTCTTTAAATATGTCTCTCTCTCTCTCTCCCTCTCCCCGCCTGCTTTCACTCTATCTCTTAATATATCTGCCCCTGACTATCATTCATTCTCTCTCTTCCAGCCTCTACCTCTCAGTCACTTTCTCTCTCTTTATACCTCTCTCTCTCCCTCTCTCTGCCTTTCAATCTGTCTCTCTCTTTCTCTTAATGACTTTAAATCATTAAGACCTTCATTATTCTACTCTTCAAATATCTCTTAGCTAGTTCTTTATATAAGCTTGGCTAGAACTTTTAAAATGTCCCTCGCAACTCGCACACTCGCTAAATTGGTAGCTGTTCGAAAGCGCGTGCGCTGTTGTAAACCGGAAAATGTTGACGAATGTTAACAAAATATGCAAACATTTGTTGCTGTTGCCATTGCTGAGCAGCAACTGCAGCAATTGATTATGCGATGTTGTTGTTGTTGCTGTTGTTGCACTTATAAGCCGCTCACTCGACTTGGCTTGTGCTTAGCAGTTGTTGTGGTTGTTGTAGCTGTTGTAGTTATGTAAGGTTAGCTTGAGCTAGCGTCGAGCCATTGACAATGAATTGCAAAGTGCGAACGAAGCCAACGAACGTGCAACGTGTGGGCTGCAGCCAGGCAGCGACCAGTTGCAATGCGTTGCACACACGTTACGCATACGCCGCGTGGCCGTCAGTTTGACGCGCTGCAGCCAGGCAGTGAGGCAGTCAGGCAGCTGCAACAGTTTCCGGCTGCGACAGGAAGTGATTTTTCAATTGCTTTTCATAACTGCGAAGGTTGCAAAATTGTTGCTGTTGAAGGTGTTGCAGTTGCATGGCCGTTGTTGTTAAACAGTTGGCGTGCCAGGTTGCGGCCAGGGTTTTGCTGCTTGTCAAATGAACCGTTACAATGTAGTGTTTGTCAAGTAGTTGTCAAGTGGACATTCAACTGAGTGTCAATAT